CATTCTCCATTTTCCATTCTCTTTTGTTTTGATTTGTTTTGTTTTGTTTTGATTTTGTTCAGGAAAGTCAATATAAGCGCGGTGGCGGAACAGTATGTGGTCTGCTCGCTACTCCTTGGGAGCAGTATACATCGGCAATACGAAAGGTAGACAAGTGCCCTCCCAAACGTGTCTTTGGAAACCGTACTTAAACTTCACATATTAGCAGCAGACTCGAGTTGATCTCGTTTAGAATTTCCTAGATGGAACAATGCTGTTCCTAAGATAAGGCCTACCGAAAGGTTTGCCCATGCTTGTACATTTTTCTACATCACTTATACAAAAAATGTATTGGAGGAACGTAATTTATTATGTATCTTTGGCATGCGATGTTAGCCTAATATCATGAGAATAGTCACCATTGTGAAACACACAAGTGTCATTGTTTCGTGTAATCTTGCACAAATTAGAGAAAGCAAATTATCATGGAGCTTAACTTGAAATTACTGTATAATATATTGCCATGCAGTAAGAAGTAATCTTTTCAAATGGGGAATATCCAATGACGATGTTTGCCCAAAATGTAATATAAAAGAGGATATGAATCACGTATTTATCGAATGCAAACTAATTGAGCCCTTCATTAAACATCTGAAAGAAATATTAAGAGATATATACTAAGTAAAGATACTGACGTTCAGTATCTAAGAATGTGAACGTAATTGTACTTTATTCTTTACAATAGCATTTTGGACAATTTATAAATTGATTGTTAAACGAAATATAATTGGGATAGACAAGAGAAAAGTTGATTCTAAACAAATTTTTCATAGAGAAATTATAAAAAATCAAACATAAAGATTACCAGAAAGCCTTTACGAAAAGAACTGTTAGGTGTTATTTAAGAAAAGAGAAGAAGAAAAAAAAAGAGAAGAAAAAGAGAGGGAAACAAAACTATCAGTATAATTTTTATGTTAATTATGATTCAATTGCTTTGCAAAGCAAAGCAAACCTTAATTTCAATACTTTGTTATGACAATAATAATGTTTTTGTGATTGTGTAAATTTGATTTGTAGTATTGTATCTTTGAATGTAACCATGTATATATAATCAATAAATCCTCTGATGAGGCAAAGAAAAAAAAAGGAGACTAATCTTCAATTATACATATAATGAAAAATACTAGTCTTCCAAGTGACTGGTTTTGAATTTTCTGGTAGAGGAGAATTGTACATTATTTAGTAAAACTAAAAATGCAATATTCACGTTTCGTTAGTTAAAAACAGAATTAAATGAATAAATTCTGATATGGATCACAATTGTAATAAACTGGTATTTAAGGTAGTCTGTCCCTTTTGGAGGCTGAGAATATTAAATGATGTAAATTCCATGGTAAACAAGAGATAAGTCCAACTAAAACTCCTCTTAAAAGATTAGAAATGGCAATTGCCTCTATGTACGTGGAGTTATTTTTATGTTGTTTTTAAATAGAGCCTTGTTGTAAACCAGCCTATTTTAATGTTTTTAACAATGTTTTGTAATGATTTTATAGCTGAACATGTTACTCTGTATAAAGATGCGAAATAAATAAATAAAATATCGAATTTTGAAAACGCGTTGCAAAAATAGGCATAGAAGGTAGACCCTTGTATCGCAAAGTCGTACTTTTGGTGCTGAGTTAAGACTCGATAAGTTTAATTCATTATGAGAAGCGGATCAATGATGACTGTACGAACGAATTTTAAAATGTCAGTCACTCACTGACAATTGGGCAGTGTCTGACAGTGCATGAAGTCTATAGGGAGTAAATGTTTTACCTTGCATTGCACAACAGAACTGCGAACGTTTAAATTTTACAGAAAGGACATTCATGACATATTCATGTTTCCTACACAGTTCTACAGAATTTGATGTTGGATGCAAAAAGGATACAAAACCTTTAAATTACCAATGTGATGATTTCATTTTGAAGACAACGCTAGAGAAATGTTAGAAAATAAAATGTTTAGTTAGTTTTAAAAAAAAAAATGAGTATGGTAACAGTGTCATTCAATTATAATGAGCAGGGAGTTATAAAGAGAGAAGAATTGCCGGGGGAGCCTGTGAAGAGTGTAAGACAAAATGCAAATTGTGAGGGGTGGAGAAAAAGAGAAAGAAAGAAAGGAAGAAAGAAAGAAAGAGAGAGGGGAAGAGAGAGAGAGAGAGAGGAGAGAGAGAGAGAGAGTGTGTGTGGGAGAGAGAGAGAGAGAGAGAGAAAAAAAGAAGTAAAAGTGCTACTTTATACCTTTAATTACTAATTGAGATTTTCAACTGGAGGTTTCGACTGGTTGGAAGTTACGCCAAATGGTTCAACTGGTCCAGTTAGACCAGTTAAATCCAACTGGTTACCCTGGAAATTGAAATGGGCCAGTTGACCCAGACCAGTTGAATTCTTACTGGACCAGTTAGAATTTGACCATTTGAATTCCTACTGGACCAGTTAGAATTTGACCAGTTGAATTCCAACTGGACCAGTTAGAATTTGACCAGTTGAATTCCAACTGGACCAGTTAGAATTTAACTGGTCTGGGTCAACTGGCCCATTTCAATATCCAGGGTTACCAGTTGGCTTCAACTGGTTCAACTGGACCAGTTGCAACTGGTTTTTCCTTCTGGGGAGAGAGAGAGAGAGAGAGAAAACAAATAAAGCGAAGGTTGGGAGAGAGAGAGAGAGAGAATCCCGAAATGAGGGTCATTGCTCGCGCGTAGCCAGGGGGGACGGTGGGGGCGGTCGCCCCCCCCCCAAAAAAAAAAAAAAAAAACGCTGGCCAAAAAAAAAAAAAAAAAAGGGAGAGAAAGAAGAAAGGAAGAGGACGTAGGAAGAAAAAGGATTAAGAGTCGAGACCGGTACAACGAATCGTCTTCTTTCTCTAATAATTTAATGAAACGTCAAGGCTTCTGCGGTTCGCGCGGGAGGGGCGGCGGGAAACTGAATTCAGATAAGGATTAAGAGTCGAGAACGACAACGAATCGTATTCTTTCTCGAATAATTTAATGAAACGTCAAGGCTTCCGCGCATTGCGCGGGAGGGGCGGGGGGAACTGAATTCAGATAAGGATTAGGCTTTCTCGAATAATTAAATGAAACGTCAAAGCTTCCGCGCTACGCGCGGAGGAAGGGGAACTTGATTCAAACAAGGATTAAGAGTCGAGATTGAACGGTACAACGAATCGTCTTCTAATAATTTCTTGAAACGTCAATAGAAACTGAATTTAGACAAGGATATACAGTCGAGAACGGTACAACGAATCGCCTTCTTTCTCTAGTAACAGGGGCGGATCTAGCTTTTTGCTCAGGGGGGGGGGGTTGACCAATAATGACGATGCGGAGCATCGTCCACGAGCCGCGAAGCGGCGATCCGATTTTTTGGGGGTGTTTATTTGAACCCCGTAAGTGATGTTTTCCTGGCATCTATTAACACAATGGAGACCATAAAAAGCAGTGCATGATAACGTCTTTTTAAATCAAGTAACAGTTAAATACACAGTTATATCCAGAGTTATCATGTGTTTGGTTAAGTTACCAGATGAGTTGAATATCTTCTCACAATATTTGCACTTGAAAGGGTTTCTCTCCAGCGTGCGTTCTTTTTTCTTTCTTTTTTTTCTTTTTTTTTTTTTTTTTTTTTTTTTTTTCCTTTTTTTTTTTTTTTTTTTTTTTTAATGTGGGGATTTTGGGGATGAGAATCGGCAACGCTGGCCTAGCTTGTCACTTCGGCGGTGGCCCGTGTCCTCAAAAAAGCTGATGGGGGGGGGGGGGGCAAGGGACTCTGTGACATTTGTTCGCCCACCCCCCCCCCCCCCCTCCCCCCAAAAAGAAATAATAATAATATAATAATAATAATAATAATAATAATAATAATAATAATAATAAATGAAATAAATACATAGAAATAGAATAAAATAAAATTACAAGTTTAAAAAAAAAGATAAGATTTTAAAAAATGGTCCCCGGATTTTTTTTGGGGGGGGGTTGCAACCCCCCCAACCCCCCCTCTAGATCCGCTTCTGAGTAATCAAATGAAACGTCAAAGCTCCCCCTCGTTGCACCCATGCACCCCCCTAGGGAGCGCGCTACGCGCGCTCTTTAAGTGATTCGCGTGCTCACTACCGCCCCCCCTAAAATAAAATCCTGGCCTATACGCACTTGCGAAGAAGAGGGTCGCTATTCATAATACGGAATGGGGGTCGCTGTTCATTAAAATCGAATAAGCAAACAAAATAATTATGAAAGGGAAATATTGAATGGGGGACACCCTCACGGCTGTGGCATTGCTATGAGAATGGGGGGGGGGGGTGACACATGGCCCTGAATATTTGTCGGAAACATTTATTGAAAACACACAAATATATATGTTATTCATCACCAATATCTGTTGATGTACAGAGTGGGCATTGCAAATCATGTACAACAAATCTACGTAATCTATGTGTTCTACATCTAAATTTATTGCTTCCTTCTGACAATCAGATAAAAGGTTATATAATTATATATACTTTAAAAAAAAAAGAAGACAGAATACATTGCAGGGGACGCCGCCGTTAGCATAACGCCTATATAACGGTCACAAAATAGTATCTTACATAAAATGTGACTATGTGAGAGCTATTATAATAATGTATAGCTGATGATGTATATGCCATATAGAGCATGCACTATAGGCCCATATGCAGACGTGTGAACATAATATAATAGCTCTGTTTCAAAGTTTTTTTGTCCCCAGCATATAATCAATTAATTTGAAAGATTAACAGCACCTCCCCCAAACATATGCGGATTTTGCCCCCCCCCCCCCCGCCCCCCGGCCCCCCCCTCCCCGGCCCTCCCCCCCCCCCCTACACTTACAATTTTGAGCTCATATATCAACAATTTTTCCTGGATTCAACAACGAATATACATGAAATTGCACGAGAGATTACGCATGGGCATCATCTTAGAGCGCGTGCGCGCGAACGAGCAGCACGAAATTTCGTAGTCAATATTCTCGCAATATTTGTACTGTATGCACAATAAATACGAGTACGTACTACGTGGTGCACTATCCGGGAATTTTACGAAACTAAACACCTTTAATGCACCAAAATTTGAGCTTTAATTAGAGGTAAATTTCTAACCATGTCGCTGAATGGGATGCGTGGAGATGGGCTTAATTGCAGCCACTGGACTGATACAGAAACGAGACATTTGATAAAGATTTGGAGAAAGCCTTTCGTACTCGCAGAAATTCGCGATCCATCTTCTAAACATAAAACCGTGTACAAACGAATCGCAAAAAGGATTGCTGCAGAGGGGTACCACCGCGATGAATGTCAGGTAAGAAATAAAATCCGAACAATGAGCACGAACTTTAAGAAGCTTATGAAAATGAAGGACAGAACCAACTGGACGGGACAGGGAAAACAAACTTTTCTGTATTTCAATGAACTGCGTGAATTTTTAGATGGCTCTTTTTCAACATGTGCCAGCGAATCGGCAGGTGAGGCGACAGCGCTAGGTGCCGGTGGGGGACAAGGTGGGGACAGCCCGAACTCTCCAACAGCACAGACACAGCCTCTCCTGCAACTGAGCAACATAAAAGTGGAGAACAACCATGAGCGGGTACCTGCAACTACTGCTGCTTTCGACAGGACGAGCTGTTTGTTAAATGGTATATAAATTGCCCATTATTCTTCTTCACTCTCAATGATGAGTCAATTTTATATTTCCCCAACAGGATCTGTTTATTTTTCAGATTTTAGGGCTAATATTGGGCCAAGTAAAAAAAAAAAGTTTGTGTTCAGTTTGTCATATCAGAAACAAAAATCAGAAATCAAATGATTTTCTCTCTCTTTCACAGAAAACAGACAAGCACTAAATACATGCAGTGACAGTGCAAAAAGTTAGTGCTTGCCTGCAAAGGTGTCAATCCTGGGGGGGGGGGGCAGGGGGATATGCCCCCCCCCCCCACAATTTTTCCTAGGGGGACATAATATCAAATCCCCCCCCCCCTCATCTTTTGTCAGAAAAGAAGAGGGACCACCAGGGAACAGAGATTTTATATTTTGTATACACAAAATGGCCACAACGCACACACTCCAACAAAAAAAATAGTGCCTCTTACACCCCCCCCCCCTTTAATTCACTGCCTGGATGATTCACCACTTAATATTTCCTGAAGAATTGGGCACAAAAATAATAAAATGAAAGATGAAAGATTACACTGTTTGAATGTTGTCTAGGAAACAGAAAAGGGTTGATTAATAACGATCATCAAGGCCATGGGGAGGGGGGGGGGGTTACTAAACAGCTCATATGTAAAGTATCGATGAAGAACCCTAACGTCAAGCGTGAAACATGTTTTGGTGATTGTTTTAGCAGATCCATGTTTCTGCATTTATTGATAAATCAAATATTAAACATTCAAATAACAATCATAGTATAAACTATATAATATAATTGATTTACATAAAGAGTGACAACTTAAACACACACAAATAAAAATGCATAATTGAAAGTATAGAGGTAAGTAAAAAATAATCAAGATAAATGCAAAGGTCAACTATCATAAGCAAGAATGCTTGGGTCGATAGCAGCTTAAGGCCCCACTACACTACTTAGCTACCTGTGCCCTCTATATAGCAACCACTGTCTAATCGTGACCGTTGGTCCCCCATGATCCCCTTTTTCTTATGTTAATTGAGAGCTGATGTGATGAGATAACCTCCTGTCAGTAACCTTGCTGGATAAACTACTGGTAGTGTAGACAGGCTTTAAGCTTAACCCTTGATTCTTTTGCATTTAATGACTTCAGATGAAGCCTCACTCATCAATACAAGTGGAACACCTAATCGTCAGTTAGACAAATTTTCATCCGACAAAGAATTTGATGACATTGATAGTAGTCAAGGTATGTATGAATACTCACTTTTTATCTTGGTTCATGGTGGTGTAATTTCAAGCATGAAGTTCTGCCATTCAAAGCATGTTTTTGTTTTTTGTTTTGTTAATATTTGAATAAAACTGTGAGCAACAGCTTTACCATGCACCATACATTTACAAATTGTGCTGAATTAGCTGACTTTCAATAAGGGCTCTGGTTGACCAGTCAAATGGTTTACTCCCTGAAAAAAAAATGACTGACATAATGTTTTGTATGTGTTTGGTAATGCCAATAGCACTTTGTCACTTTTAAAATTGTTGGTACTTCTCAATATAGCAATGCTCTTGAATTGAACTGTTGGAGTGAACAACAATAAAACTAGATTTAACTGATATTTAATTATTTTGAATTGTTATCTCTTTTCTTGTTGTCCATTGCAGTCTCTATCTCTCTCTCTCTCTCTCTCCCTCTCTCTCTCCCCGTCTCTCTCCTCGTCTTTTGAATACCAACTGGTATGTTTTCATGAGCCTTTAGGCATCATCAAGAATGGATTTACAATTTTCATAATTTAATGTGAATGTGACTCACTTTATTTTGACATTGTTGGATTATATACACCGATACGGGCGAATTTTCATGGATGTGAGCCCTCTACGTTTATCATTACACGCTGGGGGGCTTCTATCAGCTTGCGCTTTCATCTTGCATGCAACGATCATTGCTTTCTCACAGACAAACCACTTATTATTCCTTGCCGCTTTCGGACATTTCAACTTCATTTTGTCTAAATTTATTTCATTTACGATGGATGAATGGGTAGATGATGTCCGTCATTGGCGAGATTTGCGTGCGTTTTCGGCAATCGAAGTTTGGGAGACGCCGTTGTAACGGTGTCCCACATATTCATTATCGTGTATGTTAACATGCAGATGATTTTATTGAATTGAAGAGAGTGAGAGACGGAATGATTTAGAGTTAGAATATAAATAATTCAAGGAATTTTAGCTAGCTGGAGCAGAGTTGTGAGTTCGATCTTACGGTACGGAGGCACTCTCACCACACCGCCAGTAGATGCGGGCCTAAGTACGAACGAGCTCTCGCTCATTCAACTTTCCCATTCAGGTGCTATCCAGAAGCCCCCCAGCTGCCCCCCAACTGTAGCGCCACTTACGGCGGCTTGCGTGGAAGGTCGCCCAAAGTGTATTTGTGTATAGCTTTATACATGCTGTATCTTACCAGGGAGGTGAAAGAAAAGGAGGCGAAACTCTTGTAATTTATTCAAATGCATTCTTGAGTTCTAAAGCGTAACAATGGGATGTGTAACATTCCACTTGGCTTTGAAGTTCCATGCTCCGAACCGCGCTTCCACTGCGGGGACTTTCGGAAGCCAGGCACCAGTTTTACATTTATTACAAAATATTAAATTACCGGCAAAATTTCAGTGTAAATCAAAAACTTTATATGGGGATTTTATTTGGAATAGTGCATCAAACAAATTTTCAAATTTAGAACTCCGTCCTTCCTTTAATATGTGTGCCAGAGTTGGTAAAAGAAAAATTACATCCTGTCAAAAACTCAATATTTTAGGATGATGCGCTAATTTGTGCATGCTTTAATGCCCCGTTATTTGATCCATGATTTACAATCTTCAATAACATTAAGTTTGCTAATGCGTGTTTTCGCGTGTTTTTTGTATTTTTCAAGTTTAAAAAAGGATGAAAGTACACAAGTTTGTGTTCGCTTGTTCTACTCTTTACACAATCAACAATGGATGAGAAATCATTGGAAGGGACAGCGAACAGTTGCAGTGATACTATTTTCTGATGTAGGAATTCTAAATCCTGAAATTTCATGCGCTCTTTTATCTCACCACCTGGTCAACAGTTGTAGATTAGCGCATAACTTTTCGGCGGCTTGGAGCATGGGGTCAAAGGAGAGCGGCTTGATTCCAGTCCTTCTCTATCACGTCCCTGATCTTACTACCTTATGTTTCCAATGTATCAGGTACATGTATAATCTTGTTTAATTGTGGCATATAAATTAAACATTGTATGTTTATATTCAAACTTTTTTTTAAACAAAAACAGAGATACAGGTACATCCAGTGACCGAGGCAGGGTGGATTTCTGAAGAAGATGAATTTGTTAGTGAAGAACCAAGGGCTAAACTGAGATGCAAAGTTAATTTACGTCATCCAAAGCGAGAAAGGACAAGTAAGATATGGTTTAAAGTTTAACCTTAATGACTTGGAATGCTACTTTATGATTATCAGTTCTGATGGGGAATTTACGATTACAATGACCTAATTGCTTAGCAAAAATAAAGTAATAAATAAGGAATTTGTTTATAGTTGAATAGTGTGCTGATATGACTGGAAGATGATCTTTAGAGTAGTTCAGCAAGGTTTTTTTTCTTTAATTGGTTGTATTATTATTATTATGTATTCATTTATTTATTTTTATTTTTTTTTGGAGGGAAGGCTCTGGGAAATGCAGTTTAAATAATACTGAAACACTTTTCTATCATTGTAGTTACCAGCTCTAAAGTTTACATTGTACTCTCAATAAAATACAAAATGAAACTGCAGAACCGCAAGTGTTTTGTATGGGTAAATGGGGGAAACTGGTATTAGTTGTTCATTACATAATACATGTACATTCGTAACCAAATTTAATTGTTATGAATATCAGTCAATCATATATACTCCATCTTTCAGGGAACACTAAGAAGGACGAGACAGTAAAAGACCTTATGAAGACCCTCCTGGAGAACAACGCGCAGCGAGATAAAGTATTGATGGATGCAGAAGATGCTCATAGAAGAATGGAGGCAGAGAGACACACTGAAGAGGTATGGTCCCGACTCTAATTTGAATACTGACATCTTAAAAGGATTTTTTTTTTTTTTTAATTTATTTATTTCCACATACGGGTGGAACACCCTAGTCAGCACAGCTGTTTTTCATAGGGGTCCAATTAAAATACATAGCATGTTTTTACAAAAGAAACAAGACAATAAATCAAATACACATAAATAAATAACAATACATTGCACTTCCGAAATCTATGAAATGTAACATCAAATCAAATGGACAATAAGTAAATTAACACCCCCCTCCCACCCACCCACCTAGAAAAGTATACAAAGCAGGGCCCTACCCTATTCCAGTACATGTACATTGTCTTAAAAATGCATCACATTCAACAAAGTATTATTCTGAATTGAGTTTAATCTTTTTTTAAATAATTCAATTGATGAGCTCAATTTAATATCATCAGAAAGACTATTCCATATTTTCCCTCCTATAAAAGTAATTTGCCTTTTGTCGTAATTTGTTTTGGGTCTATTTATCATAAGCTGCTCACAAGTTCTTGTTTCATATCTTGACACACGTCTCTCAAAAATATTACTTATATAAATGGGACAATTTTTGATGTATAGCTCGATAAACAGTATGAACTAACTGTTTGATCCTACAAATTTCCAAATTATCTAAATTAGTTTGTTCATAGAGTGCTACAATTGAGTATAATCAACTTGAAGGGCTACTCTCAAAAAGCAATTTTGTAATGTTTGTGGCGATTTGTCTTATTAGTGTTGCCCCAAACAACATTACAATAATCAAAATTTGGCTGTATAATTTATTTATAACACAGAGCTGTTTGATTATCAATGAAATTCCTAATTCTTTTCAAGAGATAAAGTGACTTAAGCATTTTCTTATGAATATATGCAACATGATCCAATCTCAGTTTTTATCAATAATGACACCAAGATATTTACATGAGTGAACTCGTTTTATAATCGTATCATTAATACAAATAGGGTGAGTGTCAACAAAAAATTCCATCTTTTTAAATGTTGGGCTGATCCAAGCAACATAAATTCACAATTATTTATGCTGACAGTCAATTTATTACCTCTTAACCGTGATGAGATTTTATCAAATCATTATCCAATTTATTAACAATAATATCAGGGTTGCTATTAGAGAAGAATAAGCAAGTATCATCTGCATACAAGGATATAACACAATCTGACAAGCATCTGGGCATATCATTTACATACAGAGAAAACAATAATGGACCAAGTAGTGTCCCCTGAGGGACGCCACAAGTTACAGTACGTTTTTCGTAGGGAGACAATTTATTTCAAGTTGTATACATGTTGTTCGAAAGCGGATCAAGCTTCAACAAAATAGTTTTACTGATTTTAAATTATAATTTTATATTGCACTCTTTATTAGACCCTTCAATTTCATTTCAGGGAATACCATTAAAAATTAAATGGGATATGTGTCAATTCCAAGCAAGAAATTAACTTTAAAGGCAGAACTCTAAGCAGTCCAATTCGATTTTTTTTTTTTTTTTTGTTGTTGCCCCATGTCATATATAGATCCGACTTCTACGGGACCAGATACAGCTAGAGCGGGAAAGATTACAGTTTGAGCGGGATGAGAGGGAAAGGATGGAGCTCATTAGGAAAGAGGAGGCGGCAAGAAGTGAAAGATTTCGAAGGGAAGAAATGGAAAGGACAGAAAAGGCACGTCTAGATGAGAGAGATCGAGAAGAGCGGCGCTTTGCATTGATGATGGCTCTGACTAAGGGGACACAGAATAACAGCAAGTAGCTCTTGTGAACATGAGCATCAGTCTTCTGATCTGTTGATCCACAATTCCAAGTACTGTTATCAAGAATCATGTTGATGTCTCCGGAGTCTCTGAAGATATATATATGCAGAAAGCCAGAAACATTTGGTTGAAATAACAAGGATACAATTACTTGGTTTGGAGACAGCCGAAAAAATCAAATAATATTCTCTCTTCTTGGAGCTCTTAGATTTTTTAGATTAAATGTGAGATGACATCGCAGCTCTTCTCTTTCTTTTCAGCAGAGTCCTTTAACCTTCCAAAGCTGAATTGATCTCCACTCCAATGTTTTCCCTACATGACCCAGTTTTATTCTCAGGATTTCTTGGGGAAATGTTTTCAAGGACAGTTCAACAGGATATTTGCATGAATAATGTGCCAAATTAATATTATGCATACATTCACAAAAGGCCCATAATTTTACAAAATTTAGTTACAGTATTTGTTTTATGTCTGACCAGCTGACTGGTCTCGACTTGTAAGTATTAAATGCAATACAATTTTTTACAATTCGTTCACCTTCTCAGCCCCTTCACCTTGCCAAGTAATACAGTTTTGATAATCTATTTTGTAGCAAAAATCACCTAGTCTGTTGGTGTGTGAAAACAATTACCGGTACACGCAAGATTTGATATTGTTTATTAGATTGTATAAAAGCAATCTACAGACTAAATTGTTTATTTATTTTTAAAAATGAGAGAAATAAGATCTGTGAAAATTTGAGCAACCTCTGATGAGAAATGAGAATGTTTTTAATTTTTGAAGTTTTAATCAATCAAACACGATTGGCAAATCTGACCAATCTTTCAAGGCTTTCGAGCTCCTCTCCTCTTTACTCTGTACAGAATATTACATTTTCTTAGTTGTTTAATGAAGGAATGTATTTTTTATAAACAGGGATTGTGTAGAAACTTGTGTGCTATGATAAAATCGAGGGGTGGGTATAAGGTCACAAAGTTGCCAAGTTGGGCTTGATCAAATTTCATAACTCCCTTATTATCCCCTCGCCGACGAAGTCGGAGGGGATATAGAAACGCTGCCGTCCGTCCTTCCTTCCGTGTGTGCTTCCGTGTGTGTGCGTCCGTCCATAACAAATTTGGTTTCCGATCGATAACTTCAATAATGTTTGACGGATTTTAATGAAATTTGATATAAAGGTACATGATATCAAAATACAGGCCAAGTTCGATTGTGGAGTATGTAGGTCAAAGGTCATAGCTCATTAAATATGCGAATCTGGTTTTCGATCTATAACTTTAGTATTGTTTGACGGATTTTAATGAAATTTGATATGAAGGTTCATGGTATCATAACACAGCCTAAGTTTAAATTCGGAGTATGTAGGTCAAAGGTCATAGCTCATTAAATATGCGAATCTGGTTTAAATTCGATAACTTGAGTAATGTTTGACGAAATTTAATGAAATTTAAAATGAGGTACATGGTATCAAAATACATGTACATGTACAGCCTAAGTTAGATTTCTGAGTATTTAGGTCAAAGGTGAAAGGTCATAGCTCATTAAATATGCAAAAACACCTAATGATATATGTGAAAATGTGGTTAACTGCCTTGCCTAGTAATAGTATAGTCCAATTAAGGTAACTTGTTCTGATGTATATAGGCCACTTGTACCCTGCGAGTGGATGCTACGCTTTGCGTTGACTTGTTTTTAATGGATTTTGCTCAAAATTTCACATTTTTCTCTTTCTATCAAAACTAAAATATGATTTTACATAAATATCAATGTCAAACTTGAGAGGCAGACATTGCAATTCGAGCCAGATGCAACCTCAAAGAAATAAGTATTGACACAAGACTAGTCTCTCACTTCAGAGAATTCTCAGATGTGTAAATGTGTTTTATGAGAATAGATTTTGCATTTTCAATTTCAAATGCATATTATATATGAGAAATACATTCAAACCTCTTATTGGCCACATCTCTGTAAAGGTCACCTGTCTATAATGGTCACCTATAATATCTCCCTAGAAAGAGATTGTGTGTTGTAGAACTTGTCAAGAAAGGTCACCTGTCTACAGAGGCCACTTTTTCTGTTTCACTTCAGTGGCCTTCATAGACGGCTTTGGCTGTAGCTTAAAACCATGAAAATGTGTGTGAAGGATAAATGTACACATCTAACTACCGGTAGTTAGATGTACACATCTAACTACCGGTAGTTGTTTTTTTTTTTGCTGAAGGACAGCTATTCTTCTTGTATCTTATAGGTATACAAATGTACTAGCTAAGACCAACAAAAATCGTTCAAATAATGTGTATTAAAGCGCAATAACCCACCCAGTGATCTGTAAATCACATAAAATATTGTACAAGTATAGTAGGCAAGAAAATACAAGTATTTCACTTTATTGTTTGCACTGGCCAGTCATAGAAATGCTTTTGTTATAATGTACATTAATAATAACAACCAAAAACTTGCATCAGCCTTCTGTATCCGTTTTGTGTTGTTGTTTTGCAAACTTCATGTAGATGTGCTTTTTTGTAGATGCAGCTTCTTGAAAAGTTAATGGCTCATTTTCCTAGGTGTGGAGTAGGCTAAACCTGGGTTTATTATTTAACCCATCGAATCCTTGGGTTTGAGGTTTGAGTTCGTTGATTTAACCCCACCCATAACCAACATGTATACCAACACATGTGTGCCCCATGTAGGTTTTTGGTGGTGAAAGTCGCATATTGAGCATCGGCCGGGCCCAGCTTAAACCAGATGTATACCAGATGGGCCTTCCCATCCAAAATCCACAAAATTAATATACCCAGAAGGAAAACCCAGTTAAATTTCCAACTGGTTTGTGCATGGCATATTTCCAGTTGCACCAGTTGATAACTGACTGTTAGCATAATGAATATGGGGTGCGTGCACATCTATGTTTTTATACAATTTATCTTAATTTACAGCATTACTGATGATGTAGTTATGCAATTCGTTAAAAAAAAATACTACAAAATATAAATCGTTATTTATTAGAACATTTCACTACTTTGTATCAATTACATTTAATGAAATATGAATTAGTAAGAACTATGAACTAAATCAAATTCCATAATATGGAAAAGTTTTATGCACACCAAAGACTACTTAATACCAATGCCTTTACATTGGAATTTGCAGACCATTTTTGCCACTGGCAAAATGAATTAGTACAAGTGCTACTTATACAGTGCGTCCCAGAAAAAACTAAACCGAGAACTATCAATGTTTTATTATAACTTAGTCACATTTATAATTAATAAATGACACATATTTGGAAAGTTAGACCCTCCTCTTTCATTTGATGCTACTCATATGATACATATTTTACGCATGAGTGATTAAAATTAATTTGAAGAGAGGAAACCAAAAAGTCATTTGGCGGACGGTATCTGAATTTCAACAAGAAAATCACATTTCTAGAAAGTTGAGTTTCTGCCCTTTCATATGACACCTCAATCAGGAAAATGAGCAAGGAATGACAAAGTTCTGTTTGTTTAAAGTAGTGCTTGCATTTCCATATTTTTATCGAACAAATTCGTTTTCACTGGCTGGCTGCAGTAGCAAAAAGCAAAATTGACAAAAGATCTAACTCCATTTCGTTAACAAGACGAAAGACTTCATGCATGGCTGATTGTCAATGAAACGGAGTCTTTTGTTAATTTCGTTTGTTGCTACGGCAGTCAGCCAGTGAAAACGAACAATTATGGAAATGCAAGCACTACTTTAAACTAATAGAACTTTGTTATTCCTAGTTCATTTTTCCTGATTGAGGTGTCGTAGGAAAGGGCGGATACTCAACTTTCTGGAAATGGGATTTTCTCTTCAAATTAATTTTAATCACACATGTTTATGGCACGTTCCGCCCGTCATAGGCGTGGTGGCGGGAATCTCCCGCTTCGAGCCGCTGGAACGGCGGGAGAATTAATGAGCGTGGTGGTGTACGTGAGACTCCCTCCAAATGCGGGAGGGTTGCCTGCCCCCCCCCCCCCCCCACAAAAGTCAGGTGTGTAAAGTCAATACGGGTCGACCTTTTTCTTTTGTTACGAAAAGGACTTTTTGGTAACACGCGTGGGGTCCGTCCGTTCTCGGAGTGGGGGGCCGGGGAGGGTTGACAGCCCTGCAAAAGTATACTGCTTGGAGACGAACATTATAGTCAGGAATCAGGAATGACAATGTATTCAAATAATAACATTTCAATTTTCTTCTGAATACATGAACACTTAATTAGCCTACAGACCTTTTAATCACAGAATCGAGAGAATTCCAGAACTTAATTAACCTGTATATTTTTAGCAAAACGTGTTCTCGTTCTAAGAAGGTGATGGGAAACGCCTGTCGGGTATAATAGTCTTGAACTTGATTTCTTTTCTTAAACAGATAAAGTGCCTGTTGCAGTTCTTTGTCAAACAGGGAGGCCGGGGGTAACTTTCGGGAATGGGTGGGGGGGGGGCCGGGGGATTGTCCTAGATGGTTATTTTCAGGAGTGGGGGCCGGGGGGGTATATTGTCCCGCGGGGGGTAATTTTTTTAATATGATGGGTAATCTTCCGGGGGTGATTTTCCAGGGGTAGTTGGCCTGATACGCTTATTATTAGTCCCATCTATGCTTGGAAGAAATCGGATCATATTGATTATTGACCCACCTTTTATATTTTGTGATATAAGAAATTTCGAGTAGCCCAAAACGTCTGGAGGTATGTGCGTGCGAGCGCTTTTGTAACTAGGCAAGGAAAAGCGCTATATCAAATACATTTTTGAAGGGGATTGGATTGGATTGGGTCGGACTAAAATTTTGCCAGTCTCAAATTTCTCAAAGCCTCCCTAAAATGTGCCTCTATAAATTAAATGATTTGTAGAAAATTCATTTTGTCACAAAATTATTTGTACCAAATTCAATTTGTGAATTCATTTTGTTACTTTTGTGAATTCATTTTGTTACAAAATGAATTCGGTAAGAGTCATTTTTGTAACAAAATGGATTCGGTACAAATCATTTTAATTGTAACAAAATGAATTCGGTACACATAATTTTGTAACAAAATTCGGTAACAAAATTAATTCGGTACAAAGACAAAATAACATTTTGTTACAAAATAATTGTTTTTAGTTCACTTTGTAACAAAATAAATTGTTTGGTATAATTTTGAATTCTTGATACAAAAGACAGTTTTGAGTGAATAATGTGACAAAATGAGGTGATTTTATACCGAAAAACTAGGGTAACACTTGGCGCCCCATAGACCGTACCCAACTGGGTACGATTTTTCCGTAGAACAGTGGTACGACTACCATACATGTACATGCACCCTCTGGGTTTTCCGCATCTGATTCGCAACGCAGCAGCTTGTTCTTCTAAGTTCAGCTCTTCTTTCTACCTGAAGATTATTGTAGACTGATATGAGTGTGTGTGTGCTTACGAGAGTCAGCTTGCCATTTATTTATCGTGTTCTATTATTTTTCCATGCCGCTTAAGCTTAAGTCCAGCGACTACTGTCCTTTAATGTCATCTCTTGGCCTGAATATGATGTCGGAATCGGAAGGACGTGGGTCTGTATGGAGTGGACAGGAGACTCTTGCATTGTTGAATATGTGGGTGGGAAAAGACATTCAAAAGGGTAGTGGTGTTGGCTGCCGTAATAAAAACACCTATAAGGAACTGGCGGCACGGATGGCGGATAAGGGGTTCTATCACCGTCCCTGGGACAGGGTTCGGGACAAAATTAACAGGTTGAAAACCGACTACAGAAAAATTAAGGAAAGGGAACTCAAGTCGGGAGAAGATTCGGAAGAGAGTGTAATGAAGCCAGTTTGGTTCGACACAATGGATATGGTAAGTTTTAACCTAATTAACTTGGCTCATATTCTAGTCATTAAGAAATAGACTAGTCTAGTCTACCAACATTTTTATTTCTTCTTCTTTCGAGTAGGCCTACAGACCTCTTTACAGAGTATCGTGGGGTACCGGGTGTGTGCAGGTGAACCACTACACCGGGTTTCCCCCTACTCTTGTACGAATAGTGCAGTGGGTTCTTTTATTTACAATGTCATTGAAAATAAATAACTCTTGTCTAGAATTTTAATTTCTATTTCTACTTAAAGAGTTTCATTCTGGTTTTATTTTTTGTAATGTCTACCCTGGCTTGAGTATTTCGAGACCCTCTATAGAAATTGTGCGATAAAAATTAATTTAAGACAAATGTCATTATTACTAGCGGTAGATTATAGTTGTAGAGATCAAATTGGCAAGACACTACATTCTGCAGCATTGTCTTTAAATATGTAGATCTGGGGGTTGTTTCTCGAAACCGTTGTAACATTATCAGAGACATCCCATTGAAAGTGAATCATGTGTTAATCGTATTACACACCTTCCAATAGGATCACTGATCTTGTTGTTTCAAGGCCCTTGGGAAACAACCCCCTACCTGACCTCTCTCATTTCAATAAATGTTGACATAGAATTTTCATGCTTATTATTTTCTTTCTACTAGGTGCTGGGCTCAAGACCGCGACCCGTGGCCACATCAGGACCTACCGGTAGTTTTGTGCTGGACAGTGGAGCCAGCAGCTGGGATTCACTTTCTTCATTGGCTGGCCTTGCTCGAGATGAGGTGGAGCCTGGGGGTCGTACACAACATGCTGATGAAGAAGAGTTTGATGCTGAGTCTATGGATACTAAACCTGATGCCGTCCCTCTGCGGACGGTGCCTGGTGCCCGGCCTCTGCAGACTGCACCTGGTGCTGAGCTCAGGAATGAGCCTGCATCTCATATAACACAGATCGGTGAGCAATCATTCAATAACTTGATATCTGGAAGGGAATCTGATCATTGCATGGCCAGAAAACTCAAAGGCGAGGAGGAGAATTTTTAAAAGTAATTATGGATGGCCAAAAAAATTATTGATTAAAGGAATCTCGCAAACTGTTCATTAGAAAATATGTCAACATGCATATCCATCCACTGATGTACATCAAATCCTCATAAAGACCACATTTTGACAAAAAGGCCAAACATTTAATTGAGTTATTATTAGCCACTATTATTTTTTTGGCTAATAATTTAGTGGTCCTGGACAGTTCTGGATTTCGAATTTAAACTAAATAAATATTAATTGTAATTGTTGAGCATGTATATTGTGTGTCACTTGATTAGCAACAATGTACTTTCTGCTTCTCTGCTCATCCATTCTCTTCTCAACGACATCTTCAAGCAAATTGCCAGCGAATCTTCCCACCTTGCTCAGTACAACATTAAGTTCCAACAGTTCTACCTTAATTTCAACCTGTGAAATTCAAGTGCCATTTATGATTGGTTGCTTTTTACTTGAGATGTACATGTGTATGATATGTTTCTATGATTCTTATTTACAGGTAAAGAACCAGCAAATAGAAATGGGGTACCAACAGATACAAAAAAGATGGGTAAGTTATTTTAGTTATTCCCATTCCATTTTCATCTCTGCTTTTCTCGCCTGGGATGTCTGACCCACCCCACTTTCACTCTCTCTCTCTCTCCCTCTCCCCCCCCCCCTCTTTCTCTCTCTCCCCCCCCCCCCCCCCCCCCCCCCCCCCTCTCTCTCTCTCTCTCTCTCCCCTCTCTCTCTCTCTCTCCCCCTCTCCCCCTCTCCCCCTCCCCTTCTCTCTCTCTCTCTCTCTCTCCTTCCCCCTCTCTCTTTCCCTCTCCTTCTACACCTACGATGTATTATCCCCTCTTTTCATTTATGCTTTTCTGTCAATAGTGCACCCCTACCCCTCACCCTCTCCCTCTCTCTCTCTCTCTCTCTCTCTCTATCTCTCTCTCTTTCTCCCTCTCTCTCTCTTTCTTTCTTCCTTTCTTTTTTTCTCTTTTTCTCTACCCCTCCTCGATACGTTCCCTCTACCCCTCCTTGATAGATTCCCTCTACCCCTCCTCGATAGATTCCCTCTACCCCTCCTCGATATATTCCCTCTACCCCTCCTCGACAGATTCCCTCTATACAATTATATATTTGCATTTCTGTCGAAGTTTGTCTCTTATACTCTTCACAGGCTCTCCCCGGCACTTATCCCTCTCTATCTTTCTATAACTCCCCTGCTCATCATAATTGAATGACGACTAACTCAATATTTAATTTTCTAAGTTTTTTCTTAAAAATGAAATTATCACATTTTTTTTTAGCAGAACAGTGTTTCTGCATTTATTAAAAATTCAAATACAAAATATTCAAATAGCAATAAAAGTATATAATATATATATATAATTGATTTACATAAATTGTGACAAATAAAATACACAAATAAATGCAGAGACCAAGCATCATAAATGCTTGAGTCGATGACAGCAGGGACGGGGGAGGGGTACATGATGCTGTTTTAGGAGTGTGTAGGAGAAAAGAGAGTCATGTATAAAGATTTTCTTTTCCAAAAAGTATTTAAATTAAAAGTGGGAGAAAAGAAAGGAAGAAAAAGATTGCAAGCGTGTGCAGGTGAAGATGATAATTTAAAGTTAGTATATATCCGTTTTGCAGTCAACATCAAATTCTGTAGAACTTTGCAGGAATCATGAGTATGTCACGTATGCCCTATCGTTAGTAGTGACCTAGTAACTGTTACACGACGGAAACCATTTACTCTCTATAGACTTCACTGTCAGGTACTGTTCAATTAATTTGTTAATAACAGATAAAATTAGCTGTAAAGTGTGCATTATCATTTGTACACATCAATGACCTTCTTATAATAACCAAAATTAAACTTATCAAGAGTCTTAACTCAGCAATACCAACTACTATGCGGTACAAGGGTCTGAAAATCAGACTACCTGCTTGACCTATTTTTTGCGACATGTTTTGATAATTCACAGAGAAAATGCCTAACAGTCGATATAATTCCACAAAGAGGCAATTACCATTTTTAATCTTTTTGTAAGAAGTTATTGGTTGAAATTATCTCTTGTTTACCATAGGATACACATAATTTTATATTTTCAGCCTGCAAAAGGGACAGACTACTGTACCTTATAGTTTCATACTATTACTAGTTTATTACAATTGTGATCCATAACAGAATTTATTCATTTAATTCTGTTTTAACGTGAATATTGTTCTTTCTTAGTTCTACTAAGTAATGTGCAATTCTCCTTTACCACAAAATTCAACACCAGTCACTGAGAAGACTAGTATTTTACACTATATTTATTATGGAACATTAGTCTTCACACAAAAAAGGAACATGTGTGTTTCACAATGGCGACAACAAATGTTCTCATCATATTTGGCTAAGATTGCATGCGAAAGACACAAAGGTTTCTCTAATACAATTGTAGTTTAAACAATGTTGCAAAATATACAATCATGGGTAAACGTTTTGGTGGGCCTAATCTATATATATTGTTCCGCCATAGAAATGCTATCTAGGAAATTATAAACGAGATCAACTCAAGTCTGCTACTAATATGTGAACTTGTTTCCAAAGACACGTTTGGTAGGGCAGTCTTCTGCCTGTTGTATTGCCGATGTATATTGCTGCCAAGGAGTAGCGAGCAGAGCACAAACTGTTCCACCACCACGCTTGAATTGACTCTTCTGAAAAAGAAAAAGAAATCAAAACAAAAGAGAAGGGAAAAATTTATGATTTATGGTGATTATTTTTGTAAATACTGTCATTTCAGAACGGGCGAGGGACGAAGTGATACACTTTGCACTTGGGTGTAAGTTTGGCCATCCGCACATATCTCTAAAACGATCCCATTTGATCCCCGTGATCTCGAAAGTCAGCAGTCAATAACATGTTTCTTTTAAGTTTAGTTTCAAAAAGTATAACCAGAGAAGGCTTTATAATAGTCCCACTAGTCACTAGTCTCGAGTATGCCCGTTAAGTGGACCACCATCCCACCCAACCGGCCACTACGAACACCGTCCACCCCAGGTCAACTCAATCATCCCTTTACATCATTGAGTGATCATCAATTTCACTATCAACATTAGTTTCTCCTTACCGCCCAGGCGCCTATCATGGCACAACCATCGATCCCTCGACCACCACTACCAATGCGAACACGGCCGCTTCCAATCCTTCTGCCCCCACCATCAACAACAATCCTCGACCCCAGCCAACAATACAATACCACCCCCACCACTAACACAGCCCCTCCCCACTCCCTTTTACCATCATGCCACCACCAACCTCACTTTTTAATAATCTTGTATATATATACCGGTACATGTGAAATTCAGCTTATTGCTGCAAGACAAGTTGTCTAGCTAATAGAACCATTCTTTAAATTGAATTGAATCATTGCGACTACCGGTAATGGACCTCCCTGTATAAACCTACCGTTCTGTTGATATCTCCAATGCACACCCACTTCTTGTTCTTGCCAATGGCCCACTTGGAGTGATCCACCGTTTCCTTGTACTCTGGTACGTTTGGGAATCCCATAACCAGCACATTCTCAACGTGGTAGCTGCCGTTGCAAGAGGATGGTAACTTAGAAGACGTGTGCATCCATGTCTCCACATAAAGATCATCTCCAAGGGACGGCGCCACCAAGTACCAATAGAGATCTGGAGGGGGGTGGGGCGGTCATAAAATAGAAACTGAATTAAAGGGCACGTCTACAGTAGGTGACACCCATAACATACCTGCCAACCCTTCCGAATAATCTGGAATATTATGATTTTCTGGATTTTTAGGACCTAAAAGCCAAATTAAGCTTGTTTTATCATATGCCCAGATTTGAGAGTTCACGCATTGCGTGTGTTGAATTGCTGCATGATCTAGCAGCGAATTTGTATCTTTTTTTTTTTTTACAGATTAACCGTGTATTGCAAGTTACACTGCCGCTGTGCGAACGCCTGAGAAGGGTACAGATTTCTTATTTTCAAAGGCATACCATGCTAGAAATTCCTAATTCTTATTTTCAAATGTTGGCAGGTACGCCATAATATATCAACTCACTCAGAGTCACTCTGTCAATATCCCTATCAAGCTATATTGGTTCCCATATCTTTCGATAGAAAGGGGGATAATTGAGCTGTATAGCTATCCTGTGTAATTCGCATCCTGCTCAATTAAATCCCCCCTCCCAGCAATCTCCAGTTTGTCTTTTTTGTGATTGCACTTTGCTCCGTCTCTGTATTATAGCCGTTTTCCCCTCTCTCTCCCTCTCTCTCTCTCTCTCTCTCTCTCTCTTTCTTTCTCTCTCTCTCTCTTTCTCTAATGAGCCTGTCTCTATACATCCGACTGCCCCTCTCGCTCGATCTGCATGTAGTGCATGGTCTCTGGATATATTAATCACGTAATTTTGCTCTCGGCCCTCCCAAATTACCTTTAAACATTCTCTTTTTTTGCGGAGATAAAAGTGAATCATATGGATCATTTTGTTACTTACTGGTAATTTTTTATCAATCATGATTATTTACCTTGTGTTGGTTTATAATATCTTCATCATTTACCTTGTTGAAAATTGGTAAATTTGGCAAAGCTGGTGAAGGATTGTCCAGCAAGAGAAGTCAGCAATACAGTGCTGTTCCATGGAGGTTGTGAGATTGGTTCCCTCTTCGACACTTTCACAAAATCAGAGAATTTTGACTGGAATGAGGGTGGAATATTCCAATCATATGCGCTGGCGTAGTTGTAGAGGAGCTGTTTTCCTGCGTGCAAATTAAGAAATAAAAGTTTTTTAACGTAATTATATAGTAGAGTAGGCTGTAGAAATGGTTAAATGGGGTGGGGTAGGTGTATTTGTATTAATGCTGTCCATAGGGACATGCTAAATATCGGTCAGATGAGCATATTTTGATACCTGATTTGTGACACTGACAGGTCACTATTTTCTTTCTTTCCATAGGACATACGTGAGTATGTGACACATTCATGATTCCTACAAAGTTCTACAGAATTTGATGTTGGCTGCCAAAGGAATATACTACCTTTAAGCACTCTTACACTTTACAAGCACACATTTCTGTACCAGACAATTACAAGGTTTTTAGAATCCTTGGTACACTGACTTCAAGAATAACAAAGATTTTTTTTTTAAAGGCATTTTTTTAGACAAAACAACAAATAGCCCTCCCCCCCCCCCCTCAAAATTTAAATAAAAATAACAAAAAATAAAATATGAAAAGACTACCGGTAAATTGTTTGAATATTGTAGGACAAACAGAAAAGGGCTGATTAATAATGGTCATCATGAGAGGGGGGGGGGGGGTTGTTATACTAATCAATGAAGTACCCTTCACGCCAAGAGTGAAACATGTTTTGGTGATTGATACGCTTTAAGCTTAGCCCTTGATTCTTTTGCATTTAATACTCCAGTTGGGATCTCACTCCTCAATACAAGTGGAACACCTAATCATCCGTTTCACCAATTTTCATCCAATGAGGAATTTGATGACATTGATAGTAGTCAAGGTATGTATGAATACTCAATATTATCTTTTTTTTAAATGATGATGTATATTCATGCATGAAGTTTCTGCCATTCAAAGCATGTTTTTGTTTTTGTTTTGTTATTATTTTTCGAGAAACAGCTTCACCATACCTTTACAAATTGTGTTGAATTAGCTGACTTTCACTAAGGGCTCTGCATGGTTGACCAGTCAAATGGTTTATACTACGACAGCAGTACACTATTCCGCCACCTCAATCCATAATTTTAACGAGAGCCTAGCTCTCAGTGCATGGTATATTTGTTTATTATGTTTGTGGTTCCAATAGCACTTTGTCAGTTTGAAATTGTTGGTACTTGGAGTGAACAACAATAAAACTTGATTTAACTGATATTAAAATCGTTTTGAATTGTTATCTCTCCCTGTTGTCCATTGCAGTCCCTCCCTCTCTCTCTCTCTCTCTCTCTCTCTCTCTCTTTCTCTTTCTCTTTCTCTTGTCTCTTGTATACCAATGAGTATGCTTTAATGAAGCATCATCAAGAATGGATTTACAATTTTCATCATTTTCTCATTTAATGTGAATGTGACTCACTTTCGGTATAGCCACAATCAGGGTGGAAAACCATTTGCACTTGGGTCCAAAATGAAGTATGCAATGGAACAGTTTCATCAACCCCAAATTGTTCATCCATACCCTATGGTTAATCCCCTGCAATATCCTTGAGGAAAGTATCTTGCCCCCTTTTCAAACAGGAGTAAAATTCTTTAAAGCTGATTAGTTTAAAGAGCTTTAAACTAATCAGCTTTAGATACAACATCCTTCACACACAGAAAATTTTGGTGCGGTCGTTTGAGATTCACTGCTCTTTGAACGCTTACAAGCAGTGACTCACTGCTCTTAAATGCGCAATGGCCGCAAGCTGATTAGTCTAAAGCTCTTTTTAAAACTAATCAGCTTAAAAAAAAGGAGGGTTGTTGTTGCTGCATATCTTGAGGCCAACAGAGCGTATCTTTTCAAATACTCATTACCAAGTCCCTTGGATAGGACTTAAAGGGAAATCCACCTTGATATTAAGTCACAGTCGATAGAAGCAGAAAAATCTGACAAACGGAAAACATTAGTTGTTCTTTGTAGTTCCTTCTTTGTTCACATTTAACATTGAAAGAAGGCTAATTTATGTCATAAACACATGAAAGAAGGGTAACTATTTAGACAATTAAGGAAGATGAAAGAAGACATAAAAAATATTTAAAAAATCATCAAAAATAGGAAGGAGAGATGAATAATAAGATAAGAACAAGAAGAACAATAAGATTTTTTTTTTAAAGAAGAGAAGGGAAAAAAAGAATGATTATGTTGGCATTGTTGGATTATATAGCTTCATATGATGTATCTCGATCACCATCCCATGTGTCCATTGTACCAGGTACATGTACATGTATTATTTTGTGTAATTGTGCCATATAAATTAACCTTTTTCAACATAAACAGGGATACGGATTCATACAGTGACTGGAGCAGGGTGGATTTCTGATGAAGATGAAATTGATTGTGAAGAACCAAGGGCCAAACTCAGATGCAAAGTTGATTTGCGTCATCACCCAAGCAATCCAAAGCGAGAAAGGACACTAAGTAAGATATGGTTTAAAGAGAAGGTTGAGTTCTGGGAAGAGGTGGAAAATAATTTAACGTTATCATTGTATAATGCAAGTGTGGAAAAACATCAGATAAAACATGTTCCCTGAAAAGCATGGCTCTTCAAATGCCTTAATATTCCAAATATGGCGTGTAACATCATACAAATCGGGACGCATTTTTTCGCCACGTGTTCGTTTAGTCCCATATACATCTTTCTGTGTACAGTGCTTGTAACTTTACCAAGACTGGGCCAAATTTCTTAGCATTTTGATGATTCCAGAACCTTGCAATACACTTAAAGGTAAAGACCAGTTATGGTCATGTGATTGCATTGTGAAAGAAACGTTGTGGAATCGATCAGAAAAGGTTGATCATCTAGCATCTAGCATCTGCAAGGTTCTGGAATCATCAAAATGATAAGAAATTTGGCCCATTCTTCGTAAAGTTACAAGCACTATACACAGAAAGATGTATATGGGACTACCTTATATCTCTCACAGACCATAAGAGAAACAAATTTACCAAATATATGAATTAGTAGGCGGTTTCCTGGCAATTTTTTTTATCATCATGTATTAGTCAAAACATATTCTTTCACATGATTGGTAATGAGAGCTTCCATTTCATTTTTTGAAATTGGGGCGTTTCCAATACTGGTCTTTACCTTTAAATACTTATATGCTAGATGATCAACCTTTTCTGTTCGATTCCACAACGTTTCTTTCACAATGCAAGCGCATGACCAGAACTCAACCTTCTCTTTAAAGTTGATAGAGATGAGAGACTTTAACCTTAATGACATGGAATGCTACTTTATGATTATCAGTTCTGATGGGGAATTTACGATTACAATGTCTGATTACTTGGCAAATTGAAGTAATAAACAAGTAATTTGTTTATTGTTGAATAGTGTGCTGACATACCTGGAAGATGATCGTTGGAGAAGTTCAGTAAGGTTTTCTTCTTTGATTGATTTATTTTATTATTTTTTGGGGGGGAGGCTTTGGGAAATACATTTTAAATCATTCTGACACATTTTTCTTTCATTTTGGTTAGCAGCTCTAAAGTCTTCATTGTACTCTCAAATCAAACTGAAACCGCAGAACCACAGATGTGTGGTTTATTCAGGGTAAATGGGGAAAACTTGTATTGTAAGGTGGTCCTTAAATAAGGCGTTTAAAAAAGATGTTGTATAGCCTTTTGCGACCGACCCCAAAATCCTAAAATCTACAGTCGGCTTTTTAATAAAAAAATTTTAAACTGATTTTTAGGAAAAAAATGTTTAATAAATACAAAAATATGTATTTTGTTTGTTTAAATGGGATATAAATGCATAAAATCATCAAGTTATTCCAAATTATCACTTATCTTCTGCCCTAGTTTCAAAATCCTGCTAGCGTAAACCCTGGTCTCGTGTACGTGTCTATACCATGCACTGCACCAGCGAGATTTTGGGCGACGTTCTCGGTTTTAGTCTTTTGGGCGAAAGTCGCTGTTTTGAGGGATGAAACAACAACAACAACAACAACAAAAATCTGACCGACCGACCCAGGTTCTGGCACCTAAAGGGCAGTACAACATCCTTTTTTTAGGCCTGATACTTGTACATTTGTAACAATATTTATAAATTGTTATCTTTTACTGTATTCCATCTATCAGGGAACACTAAGAAGGATGAGACAGTAAAAGACCTTGTGAAGACGCTCACAGAGAACAATACGCAGCGAGATAAAGTGTTGATGGATGCTGAAGATGCTCAAAGGAGAATAGAGGCAGAGAGACACGCTGAAGAGGTATGGTCCCGACTCTAATTTACATACTGATAATGTAGAAGAGAGAGAGACAATTGTACTTCAGGTTGTAAAAATGTAGTTGGAAAGCAGATCAAGCTACAACAAAATAATGTTACTGATTTTTATGCCTTCGCTACAAAGGAGCCGGAAGCAAATGTTTTTGGGTTGTCCGTCCGTCTGTACATCCCGTCTTGTGATCGCGTTTTCTCAAGATCCAATTGATGGATTCTCGCCAAACTTGGGTCATGTATGTATCTTGCAGAGCCAATGGACTGATTAGATTTTGGGGTCACAAGATCCAAGGTCAAAGGTCACAGGGCTTATTATGTATGCAAAAATAGCTTGTGATTACACTATCATTAGAACCAATGGACAGATTACGATCAAACTCAAGACATGTATACATCTTGCAGAGCCAATGAACTGATTAGAATTTGGGGTCATTAGGTCAAAGTTTGAAGGTCGTGGGGATCATTATGCTTGCAAAAATAGCTATGATGGCATTATCTCAAGAACTGATCGATGGATTACTGCCAAACTTGGGTCATGTATGTATCTTGCAGAGCCAATGAACTGATTAGTTTTTGTCTCGCCTGCGTAGCAAAAAGCGAGACATAGGCGCCACTTTTCCGGTGAGGGCGGCGGCGTCAACATCAAAAACTTAACCTAAGGTTAAGTTTTTGAATTTTTGATACAATTTTTAAAGTATAGGTTCTTAGTCAATGAAACTTTGACTATAGGGTAATCAAGTATCCCCAATCATGTGAGTAGAATTTCAGATCACAAATTCAAGGTCAAAGGTCATTTCAGGTCAACAGACTTGGACTATGTTGTAGCATCATTTAAGTTTTTGAATTTTTGATATAATTTTGAAAGTATACCGGTAAGTTCTTAGTCGATGAAACTTGGACTATAGGGTTATCAAGTCTCCCCAATCATGTGAAAAGAATTTCAGGTCACTAAGTTAAGGTCAAAGGTCATTTAAGGTCAACAAACTTAGACTTTGTTGTGGCATCAACATCTAGATTTTCAAAATGCTTCTTCTTCGTTATTTTTCAACCGATTTTGATTCTGATTATGGTAATTTATGCAAATTTATTCCAAAAATAATTTAAAAATCACAAAAAAAGCTTCTTCTCCTTCATATTTTGACCGATTTTGATTTGGTTTGCTTTATATCGTAGAGCTAACTTTGGTACACTAAACTTCTACACAGATTTCTGAAATTGTTCTCCATTAATTAATTATGGTAATTTATGCAAATTTATTCGCAAAATAACAAAAATTGCTTCTTCTCCCTCATTTCTTGACCGATTTTGATTTGGTTTGCCTTATCTGGTAGAGCTAAATTTGGAACACTAAACTTCTACACAGAATTTTGATATTTTGCTCCATTGATTAATTATGGTATTTTATACAAATGAAATGAAATTATGTCCCTTCCAGGGCATCAAATTTTCATTTTTTGACCAGTTCAAAAGTGTACCACATAAAATTTACGATATTTGTTGTTGCGAGATGCGGATGAGCGCTACGTCATTGACGTTCTGGTTTATCATATTGAATTGCGTTATGCAGGCGAGACCGCCGAGAGCGTTTCCCTTGTTTAGGTCACAAGGTCAAAGATCAAAGGGTCAAACATGTATATGAAAAATATCCTGTAATCACGATATTCTGAGATCCTTTTAATGGATTACAATCAAACTTGAATTTTAAAAATTGCTTCTGTTTTGGTTTGTTAAATTGCTCCATGGCGGAGGCATCAAAGGTCCATCTAGTTAATATTTATTTATATTGCACTCTTTTTATTAGACCCTTCAATTTCATTTCTGGAAAACCATCAGAAGATCAGTAGGACATGTCATTTCCAAGCAAGAATGTAACTTGAAAGGCTGAATTCTAAGCTTATCATCTGTGATTTTTTTTCTTTCTTTTTTTCTTCCCCATGTCATGAATAGATTAAACTTCTGCGGGACCAGATACAGCTAGAACGGGAAAGATTACAATTTGAGAGGGAAAGATTACAGTTTGAGCGGGAGGAGAGGGAGAGGATGGAGCTCATTAGAAGAGAAGAGGTGGCAAGAAGTGAAAAACTTCGGAGGGAAGAAATGGATAGAACAGAAAAGGCACGTCTAGATGAGAGAGATCGAGAAGAGCGGCGCTTTGGGTTGATGATGGCTTTGATTAAGGGCGCACAGAATCACAGCAAGTAGCTCTTGTGAGCATAGACATCAGTCTTCTGATCTGCTGATCCACAATTCCAAATACTGTCATCAAGAGTCGTGATGATGTGTCTGGAGTCTCTGAAGATATATGCAGAAAGCTAGAAACATTTGGTTGAATTTACAAGGATACAATTACTTGGTTTGGAGACAGCCGAAAAAAATAATATTCCCTTTCTTTGGAGCTCTTTGATATTAAATGTGAGATGACATCGCAACTCTTCTCTTTCTTCTCAGTACCTAAGCTAAATAGATCTGCGATCTGATGTATTCCTTAGATGGCCCAGTTTTATTCTCAGGATTTGAAATTGTACTCATGTGTCTACCAACATTCATCATTTTTTTAAAACATGTGCTAGTGAAATTAGTGTCAAGTATTAAAGGCACACTGTCCTACTTGTAGCTACTTGCTCCCTCTATATAGAAAACTTCCCCAATCGGTGCCTGTTGGTCCCCCATGATCCTCTTTTTCTTATGTTAAATGAGAGCTGAGTTAATGAGATAGCCACCTGTCACAGTGACCTCGCTGGCTCGCTGGGTGGTCTAATCCCTTCTAGCTGAAGTAGTAAAGCCTGCCTTTAAACTATCTTGGGGAAACGTTTCGAAGGACAGTCGAAGGATATTTGCATGAACATGCCAAATTATCATTATGCATAAATTCACAAAAGGCCCAAAATTATTTGTTTTATGTTTAACCAGCTGGCTGGTCTTGTAAGTATAATGCAATACAATTTTTTCCCAATTTGTTCACCTTCTCAGCCTTTTAACCTTGTCAACTAATACATTTTTGATAATCCATTTTGTAGTAAAAAAAATCACCTTGTCTATTTATATTTTAGCAATGAGGAATTGTGAGTTTGTACAGTATTCTTGGGCCAATACATTGCCATTTCTTGAAATTTAAAGGAAACCAATGTAGATGGTTCATCAGGGTTCATACTCTTTCTCATAAATTTAATTCCATGACTTTCCATGACTTTTCTAGCCAGAATTCCATGACCTTTCCATGACTTTTACACATTTTTTTTACACGGTAGACTGAAAATTTGATCTCAAATCAAAGCGAAGCAAAGTGCATGTTTCAAGTCTACTAATAGAAAGGCAGCTTTTGTTATCTAGTTATTTCATCTGTTACAATTACATGTTATTTTTTCATCATATTCGATATGCACTGCTATATAATATTCTTACAATTACACATACATGTATTCATATCAACAATTGTCCATTTTTTAATGGCAATTTTCACTTCTAAAGAATACAAATTGCCTGTTCCTGGTTTCATGGACCACCATGATTCCTTCAATAGCTCTCCTTTGCATGTACAAGGTAACTACCCCCCCCCCAAAAAAAGAAAACAAAACAACACCAACACACAAACTCACACACATACCATCACCAATTTTAATTTCACCAACAAAACACAGTAGGCCTACTCACATCAGCTGATGAATTCTTGTTTCGCTAGCATTAAGCTGGTCAATAATTTCTGAATGAGTTTTTTCTTGAGACATCTTCATGTAGCTGTTTGAAAGAAATCCCTCTACACATATTTGCACCTGTCTGAATATTTGGTGGCATTGGTAACAAACTGTCCAAGTTCTTTAATAATTCTTAATGGCATTCAGCTGTTCATCAATCTGTTTCTGAATTACTTGTAACTGGGATGCCTTCTCCTTTGCTGTACGTCGGAGGCTGTTTGATTTGGAAATACAAGTCAATCTTCCTTGTGACTCTGCTTCCTCAGCATACTTGTCTGCTGAGGTGTGAAGACTTTTCACATCTGCTTGCAGTCTCATTTGTTTGGCCTTTAGTTCTTCCAAACCATCCATCAGTCCTTTTCTCTTTCCTTCTTTCTTTTCCTTTTCCTTTTTACGCCTCTGTTCATCGAGATAGATGTGGTATTTCTGCCTGCCTGCAGACGCAGCCAACATGATTGATTTGTCAATAGTCACATTCTTGATTCCTCCAACATACTTGATATGGTCATAAATGGCCCTCAATGATATCAGTGAGTGTCCCAGGAGATTGTCCTCTTCAACTTCGTTGTTGATTGAGAAACCTCTCTCAATGGAGGCTTGTCCATGGGACAAGACAAGCAACATGCGGACCAACTTTAAGAGGGTCGAATAGCGAGACTCGGACAGAAATTTGCACATTACAGAGTCCAATCTCTCTTTCTTTGGATCAAAGTCTCTCATCTCTGCACTTCTTGATGCCTCATCACATGCTTCTGAGTATTCTCTTAGGATATCGTCACATGAATCCTTAAGTCTGTGGGCATCACTAAGGGTGTTAAGCACCCTCTTCAGCTTTGCAGTGGAGTTTTCTTTGTCTTTTGCCATGTTCTTTGGACTCAAGCATCCTATATTTCTCACAAGTGCATACTTAAGCGGACATCGCTCAATGAGCTTCCGGGTCATTGCAGCAAGAAACTTCTTTGCTTGAGTGCGAAATTCCAGAACTTTCAGCTCACTGATGATATTTTTCGCCTTCAGATCTTTCAGCTTCTTCTCAGTGTAGAATCCAATGTCCAACTTGGCCAAGGGCAGCTGAATGGCCTCACTGCTAACATCTACCTGCATTATCTTGTAAGGAGAAGTAATGGTACTCCTGTCCAGCTTTAAAAATCGCTGCATAAGGGATGCAAGCATTCTAGTAAGGTCTTCAGCTAAAAAGGGCAGCATTGGTGCATCAGTCTGATAGTCTGTTAGGAAAGGATTGACCAGCTTTGCAACAGATATGAAGAAGTACAGTCTTGCTAAGAAATCAGTTATATGAGTACATTTTGAAACAGTTTCAAAGGACTTGTTCTTTGGGTGAGGGATTTTCTTCTCTTCTACTGCTTTAACATACGCACATACACTCTCCCAGATGCTGATTGCTCTCTCTGCAACAGGAAGGTTTTCCAGCCATCGGGTCTTGCAAAACTTAAGTGGCATGGTATGATCTCCAGTTATCTTCTGATAATCCTCTCTTCTGGCAGGGGAATCAGAAAACAGGTAATACAAGGATGATAGAAAGCTTTCCACCTCCCAGTCAGCAGCCTTGGCACCTGTCAGAAAAGCACCATTAACTATATGGAGCCCGCATGAGCCTATATTCAGTATGGATTTGGTCAGGTCAGCAGTGTACTCTCGCGTAAAGTCATCATACATCTTCCAATTAACGTTGGGACCATCCATTGATATTTGCAGTAATTTTTCCAAGCCAACTGTGTGCAGAACTTTATTCAGTTCTTCCTTGAGGTGAACAGCTGAACCATGTCCGATGAACACAGACGTCAAGTAGCGAGTGCAAACTTCATTGTGTTGCCATGTTCTTATGAGGAAGTCCATCTGCTTTTTCTGGAGCTTCTTGTTGAGGCTTTCATCAAACAGTATCACATAGTGGTTTGATTGTTTTATGTTGTCATAAAGGAGGTCTTGCACATATGGGCCCAAACCAAACACCGTCATATACCGACATTTTGTTTCTGACAACGTGAAACCCTTAGCAATAGCTGAGTCCGGAAACATTCTTTGAAAGAGCTCACTGTTGTGCTGGCAAGAATGAAATGATAAATGATCCTCCACCACTTTCAGACACCAGAGTATTTCAGCTTTTAAAGTTTCCTCTCTTGCAGCAACAGGAATGGGAGTTGTCACTTTAGAGGTTGATGGCGCACAAGTACTGGTTGTTGCATCTGTAGACGTGATAGATACTGATGAACTTTCTGCACCTTTTGCCTTGAAGAAGCTCTTGAGTGAGAGAGTAGAATCTAGGAGAAAAGAAAAAAATGTCTATTAAAATAAATAAAATATAAATATCATCATTTGGTAAGATTTAGGGCCGAGTCAAAACGTTTAACTGCCGTTCAAACGACCATTAAAAGCATAAACGTTTTCCTATTTTGACAACCGTTTGACAGTATGGGGAAGGAAAAAAAAAAAAATTCACGGCAACTTTTGGCCAATTGATGTAAGTCACTAAGACAAGTGGACTAATTTTTGACTCATTCCTTAAAAACATATTTTAAAGAAATAGAAAGGAGGAAATACTTCTCAAGGCAAGCAAACTGTTGGACCCAATTGTAAGTACAAAATTTAGTTTTATGATTTTTGGGGTCAATTTTAAGGTAAATTATTATTTTATTTTTTTTCTGCAGTCCACATACAGTGCCCGGTACAACACTGGCGTGTGAGTGCGGAGCCCCCTGGGTTAGCGTTCGGGCTGTTGCATGCAGTAACCTAGCCGGCCCGGCCCGGGGCCGGGGACGCTCCCGAACGGGCTGGTCGCAGTAAGCAGTAACCAATGCCTGCGAGGTGACATCGCATCGCTAAATAATCTCAAATCTTTCATTTTTATATAATTATTATCAGTCATTATTTGGATTCATGCTCAATAAAGGATCGGTAAAATTCACATTAAAAATGCTCACTTACGACGTTGTTGCTGTTGGAGGTTTGCTGTGTGTTTTTCACTCTTCTTGTGGCTCTTGACGGCTGCTTCGCCCATATTACGGACACTGAATTTACACATACAAACAGCACATCTAGCAGTCCCCAGATCGGAACTTTCTTTCAAAATCCAGCCACGGTAATCCGGGTGTTCTAACCAAGCATCCTTAAAATGACAATTTCCAGGCATTTTGAATATCACTTCCACAAAATTTGTAATGGTGAAAATATCCACGTGACGAGTTCCAAGGTCTGTGAAAATAAACAACTCCGTTTCATGAAGAATCGACACATGCACAAAAGTTTCAAAACACATGCCGTCGCGTCGATATATAGATCGTCAACGAGCTAGCGCTGCCAATTTGCCTTGTTGACACGTCAGTATTGTTCCTTTTTTATTTAAATAATGAAAATTAAAAAACAAATATTACTAATTTACTTTTTCCTCATTTATTGGAGAAGTGTAAAAATTGTAGTAGTCTAAGTGGTCGCAATTTAATGCAAAGCCAAAGTGCAATCGAGGCATTACATTCGTTCTTGGAGTGTCACATGTCGCGTTGGCACCATCATCATATGCACACACACACTGCACACGTACACGTGCGCTAGCTTGCTGAACTGAGCTAGCGCTAGCGAGCTCGCTCGCAAGCTAGCCATGTGCGCACGATGTGGACCGTACCGCCATACACTGACCATACACACGTAGTTCGTATCGTACACGTACACACCCACGTACACAGCGCTTATCCATCGATCATAGTGAACACATTCACAAGTACAATCAGTCGGTATGTTACGAATGAAAGAAAATACGAGAAGAAAATGGTTGAAATATCTCCATTTATTCACTTGTATAGTGAGAAAATACTATAGTTGTCCATAATTTTGATATTCCATGACTTTCCATGACTTTCCAATGGAAAAAATAATTTTCCATGACTTTCAAGGCCTTAAAAGCAATAAAGTAAAATTCCATGACTTTCCAGGTTTTCCATGACCCGTACGAACCCTGTTCATATACATGTATGTGGAATTAGCATGAATTTTTTAGGTATGCTATTTCTCAAAAACTAATAGTTGTTGACTACACTTTCTGATTATGCCCAATTGCCCATTGATGTAGCTGTAAGTCACAATTAAGGTTGTGAATTTAGAAATGAAATATAATGATAAATGGCTACATGGCTTTGGTATGGGGTATTCTTTTAAAGTCAGAAAAGCTGCCTGGTCTCGACTACAATTCTTTGTATTCAGTGGGTTGTAATAAAAGAAGAAAAATGTGAGAAATAGGATCAGTGAAGATTTAATCAATCAAACCCAATTGGCAAATATGTGACTATTCTTTCAAGGCTTTCGAGCTCCTCTCCTATTTCGTTTTCTTGGTTATTTACTGAAGGAATGCATTTTCTATAAACAGGGATTGTGTAGAAACCTGTGTGCAATGATAAATCGGGGGGTGGGGGGGGGGAGTAATGAGGTCACAGATTTGCCAATCTGTGCTTAATCAATAAGGGAGTTTACAGATAGCACATGGTACAAATATCCACAGATCTTTTACACATGGAGAAGTTCCACTTTGAGCATCTTCAAATAATAACTGCCAAAGTCCTAGATGTGCTTCATGAATACCTTTTGTTTGACCTCTTGAAAAGAATACTTCCACCTGCGCATCATAGAATGTACCGTTGGTGCATAAATGAATAATGTTACATAACTTTCATGAGTGCATATCCAGTATTCATCTCTGTGGGTTTTACCATTTTGGTACAAATGACCTTTATCTGCCCATGCACAGATTGTATCTGTAAACTTCCTCATTAAAGGTAATACAAAGTTTTGGTATGGGGTCATGAATTTGGTTCAAATGAACATTATTGGAAGCAAATGCGATCCTACAATATTCAGTGATGTTGTCGCGGTTGAAATCGAGTCTAAAGTGATGAAATTGTAAATAATAAACTGTTCATGTTGTATAGCGCCCACTCAAGGTGTATATATTAATTCAGCTATAAAACAATGTTCTTTGAATAAAATCGATTTGCTATTACCGTTTGGAATATATAACACAACTACATATTCTGAGATTTTCATGGTCGCAGCTACCAACGTATGGTCGTAGGCGCTATTTGAAATTTATCAAAATTTACCGGGAGCACCGGTAAATTTGTATATTCATTTTTTCTCGAAAGCAGAAGTGTTTTAGGGGCTAAATTTTGTCGTGCTTATAATACATCCATAGGAGCATCCAGATATATCAAAATTGAAAAGAATCACCACCATCCAATTTTCAAAAATTCCCAAAACTTTGTATTACCTTTAAACTTCAACAATTCAGTACTTCCTTATTTTATTGAATTTCATTTGCTCGAAATTTCACATTTTTGATTCTTACATTTTTCTCTTTCTCTCAAGACTAAGAGAGTCTCAGTTATGAGAATGCCCAGATGTGTACATATGTTTTATGAGAATGGATTTTGCATTTTCAATTTCAAATGCATGAATGAGAAATGCAGTCAAACTTCTCAGTGACCAGATCTCTGTAAAGGTCACCTGTCTATAGCAGTCACCTATAACTCTCTAAACTGTTCATGTTTCTCTTTGATGTCCTTTATAGACAGCTTTGACTGAAAATGAGTGTGAATGAATAGATGTACATCTTACTTATTTTTTATATTTTTTTATGCTGAAGGACAGCTATACTATTCTTCTTGTATCTTATAGGTATACAAATGAACAAGCGTAGACCAACAAATATCATTCAAATATATGAATTAAAGCGCAACAACGTACCCTGTGATCTGTAAATAATATACATGTACAAGTATAGTAGGAAAGAAAATACAAGTACACAGGTACACATGTACTCCACTTTATCGTTTGTACTGGCCAGTCATATAAATGCCTTTGTTGGCAGTAAAATGTCCATTTGATAATAAAAAAACAAAAACTTACATCAGTCTTCTGTATATTTGTTTGAGTTGTTGTTTTGCAAACTTTGTAAATGCAGCTTCTTGAAAAGTTAATGGATCATTCTTCATAGATGTTTATTATTTAACCCACTCACTTATTGAATGCCAAATGTCAAGCTCTTTTTACAGGACATCTACTGTCATTTTGTAACACGATGAAGAAACAACATGTATCCAGTCAAGTTAAAAAATGTTATCAGGATGAAAAGAAGTTTGTTTTGTTCATAGAGTTGCCAACTTAATGGAGTTTTAATGGGACAAAGTGGTTGACACTTGATGATCCATGAGGCCAAAAAAAATTGGTTGTCCTCGATTGCTTTTCTGGAGTTGGGGCGGGTGGGTAGATTTTTTTTTTTGTCTTTAATTTTTTTTCTCCATAACAAAATAAACAATCATTGAAATGTCAAGCATTTAAACAAACAAATTCATTAAACACTTCAATATGGTAAAAGACTAGTTTAATATCGTTTTTTTTTAACATATGTACAATAAATATCAAGACCAACACAGAAAGTATTTTTGGCTTTAAAATACAGCACCTTTTAAAATGAGTTTAAGAATGCTCAGAACCTGATTTGAATGAATGGCATTTTGACATAGAAAATAAGAATGGCAAGTTAATGAATACAGAATTGCGTAATGAAAAGACCAAACTGGCAACGAGATGCATTTCGATCCTTGCAAAATGCATAAAATGGTATGTTTGGCGTTTAAAATTGCTCCCAAAACAAAAACCCCAAAAATATGAGCAGCCCGAAAATGACGAGCGGGCGGTCGAGGACAACCAAATGATTTTTTTTTTTTGGAGGGGGGGCCTTAACTAATGGACTTGCTCTACCCACTTTATAATCAGTGTTTATGTCTGGGCTCAATTTATGGCACACATGAACTTTTATACATACCAGAAACAGAAATTACATAATATAGTAACACTTATATTATAATTGTCTGCATGTTTAAAATCCTGAAGTAACACTTCATATGATCTTTGTAAAATCAAAACAGGATATTTTACCTTCCCTCCTAAGTGGAAAGCTTTTACAAATAAATCTAATAAAAATGATAAAATCAAAGCATCAGATTAGGAACTCTGGAGGAGAGATGTGTGTTCCAAAACTCTGGGGTTGTCCTGATAATACAAGTTTAAAAGAAACACTTGTCACATTCTGAAAGATAAGACACAAACTATGTTGGTAGCTATGCATAGGTTTTACAGTGCTAAACCACTTTTACCATATAAAAGGAAAATAAAGCACATTTAGTGTTGTTGCACCATATTTCCATGTCCGTGAATAAATGAGTTCTTATTTTCCTACTTTTTAATTAGTACTGTCCACTTTGGTTCAGTAAATAATATTTAAGCACCTGAGAGTAACTACTCTCTCGTACTTTAAACAATAAAGTGCAGAGTAATCACATTTTGGATGAAAGAGGTGCTTGCGCCACTGCTAGCATCATCCCATGCCAGTCCATTTGGCACAGAGAGAACATCTTCTGGGACCACTTATCCAGAAAAGGGTCACCTTGGCTTTCTACAAGGTTGTGCAGTAACATGGATGGAGCAGCCCGGAACTGTGTTATTTTTCTCCTAGAGCATTATCAATGAAGTGCAGAGTAAGTGCATTGCGGATGGAAGAGGCATTTGCACCACTGCCAGCATCGTCCTGGGCCGGTCCATGTGGCACAGGGAAACCATCTTCTCCAGACCACTCGTCCAGGAAAGGGTCACCTCGACTCTCTACAAGGTTTTGCAGGATGCAGCATGCAAGAACTATGGAGGGGACCTTTGTCACCTGGTTGTCTTGCATGTTATGAAGGATGTTCCATCTCCCTTTCAGATGCTCAAAGGCACGGTAAACCGTACTGTGGCAAGAACTTAGTCTACGATTGAAGACTTTCTGTGCACCTGTTAGTGTTCCATTAACGCTGTATGGTTTCATGAGGGTTGGCATGAGTGGATATGCTTCCCCTCCAAGCACCAGGACAGGAATAGAGGTGGCTTCAATTACCTTGGGTGGCAGGTTGAAGAGGGAATCGTCCTTCATCATTCTGGACATTTCTGAGTTTCTGAACACTGCTGCTTCGTCCATGCTGCCAGGACATCCTACGCTCACATCAATGAACTGTCCAAAGCTATCCACAACTGCTTGAAGTATCATAGAGGAAAACCCTTTTATGTTGATGTATTCTTGTTTCCTGGGAGTTTTGACGGGGATGTGACAGCAACCTATGGCAGCTACAGCTTGTGGGAATCCTTTGTCTTCAAAGCGCTGAATGCACTCCTGCAATGAAGACATGTGAAATTTTACACACAGACTCATTCAAATGAAGTAACTGAAGTACTTGGTCATACTCTATTTCTAATTTTCTACCTACAAAACAATGAAAACCATTAAAAGTCTAGTTGTCTTAAATACATTCCTAATTGAAAACCGTGACGCAACTCTCCATTCCCTATTTACCTAAGAACAGTTCTGACCAAAAGCATTTTACAATCGATTACGACATCACATCATGCTACACAGAAAGATGTACATGGGACTACGCGACACGTGCGAATATCTATCAGATCCAAATAGATATAATAATTTACCAAATATATCAATTAGTAGTAGGCAGTTTCTCTGCAAAATTTGTATTATCACATATTAGTCAAAACATATTCTTTCACATGATTGGTAATAAGAGCTTCAATTTCATTTTTTGAGAGGGGGCGTTTCCAAAACTGATCTTTACCTTTAACAATTCATGCCCATGCTTTCATTTCGTGAAAAAACTGAAAGAAATTCATACCTGCAGTCTTTCACCAGTTGGAAGGGTGAGACGCTTTCGAAAAACACTGTTGATGGCTGCTGTAACAGTCAAGGTTATAAGACAAACTGATGAAATTCCAACTTCAAACAGGTCAGCTAATGTACTATAGGCGATGTTTGCTGCTAGCCTCCACAGGGTTATAGCGAGACGCTGGTCCGGAGGTGTGGCCTTCCGAAAGTTGGTATCTTTCTTTGAGATGTGAGGTTTGAGCTCTTTAAGGAGGTATCTGAATGTAGCTTTGGTCATCCTGGAAATTAAAAATAAGAAGAAAAAAAACAAAGTTGGTTACATCAGTTTAGTTTGGTTACTCAGCTACATTAAAACAATGGCACAGTTTATTCATTTGACAATTCTCAGATTACAAAACACAAATATCACTATTCTTGCCCTTCGCATCACATTTGGACATTCATCATTTCATGACATACGTCCATTTAGACTTAAATAGGTCTAGTGATATTTAAAAAAAATTAAATCATTGAGTATGATGAAAATGTAGACCCAATTCGGTAAGCCCAAACTATTAGGAGAGACCGGGAGGAGAGACCCGAGGGTTACAGTGATTCAGTTGACTTTTCCCCCCAGACAGCAGACAGGCGCGTACGCATGGGGGGGGGGGGGGGTAAACAAAAAATGCTAATCGATGACCAAAAAAAAATGTCCTCTTACCCCCCCCCCCCCCCCCCCCCCCCCCCCCCTCCCCTTGAAAAAATCCTGCGTATGCGCCTGCTCCCAGGCACAGGTGACGCCAAATACTTAATAATAATAATAACAACAATATCTTGACTCTAGATCATACAAACTGTGTCCTTTAATAAGCCAAATCAATCCATTAGTAATTCAAATTCTCTTTCGTTCGTTAGCCTCTGATTTGGGTAAGGTTATTACGAACTTGTAGCTCGTGCACAGTTTTTCCTTCATAATCATTTTGCCTTCGGCGTAGACTTTAAGGGATGAGATTTAGATGACGTCATGCGCAGCGAGAGTTTAAACTATGGCTGCAAGATTTTTTATCATGGATGTCGATTTTGACCCATAATTTCCTAAAAATGGACCATTAAATGGATTATTTCAGTCAAGTTGGTACGTTTTGCAAGTTTGGTGCACTGATTTGCACACCTAACCTACACCTTTGCCGGTATGTTCCTATTCTGTCTCTAAAGAGAGGTGCCGACCTTACCCAAATCAGAGGCTAACGAACGAAAGAGACAGAAAATTCGGTCTAATTTTAGAGGTAGCCTACTACTAGACTCTATGTAAACTCAACATCAGGCAAATGAGGCAACTATAGGTCTAGAATCTATGTAAACTCAACATCAGGCAAATGAGGCAACTAGGTCTAGAATTTGTAGAAAGAAAAAATGTATTAAAAAATAACCATTATGCAGGCCTGTGTCATGATCATTATTCAATGATAATTATTGCCTATTAATTATGATTATTATTTGCATTCATGATTCGATTCATAGTTTTCATAATCATAGTCATACTCATACCAATCAGCTATTTTACCCTCTCTCTGGCTCTATTCGATTAGACTGCTCATGCACATACACAACTATTAGTCATACACATACACATACAACTATTTTTAACATGTTTAAAATAATAAGATCATTAAATGGAAACAATAAAACGTCATTCACCTGAAGTTTTCAAGCCACATTTGGTCGTCCCATGTTGCAAGAACTATGTTGTTCCACCAGTGCACGGACTTGGGCAGCGCCCAGATCGACCGCGGCACGCGCTCCCGAGAGTCGCACATCGATAATAGGAGAATCATTACGTTTGCTGTTTCATACCGACGTCTTCGAAAGTAAGCAAAATATCTCCGTCGTCGATCTTGAGCTTCCTGACGCCGTCTGCGTCTAATACGACTAAGGAGTATTTGGCTTAGTAGCATTGAGTTCGACATTGTCTAGGCCTACGAGATATGACACTGACCAACATCAAATTAGACGTATGGGATCGGACGACTAGCTAGACACCCGACTAGAATAAATAGAATTGTTGTTGTTGTTGTTGTTGTTGTTTTAGTCTTAAGGGCGTGTGTCATTCAATTATGAATATTTACGCCGAATTCAAGTTTTTTAATAATTTTAAATGGAAGCAGAAAAAAACTTCAAAAAACTTCACAATGCGCTAGTCTCCCGTCCATGCAATTAGGTCGAGTCTAGGGAGTCGGGCTAACTCGGCCCACGGGACTACTCGGCCCAGCTGGAAAAACTGGGCCGAGATGTCCCGACCTGATTAATCGATCGAGAGATACCAATGTGTATATGTTTGTGCTCTTTGTGACTTAATAATGCCCTTTCCAACCTAAATCTTTAATGGAATTGTGTTAAATGATACCAATGCAGACAATCTACAACTTATCTTTAGGTAAAATGACAAAAAAATGACATTTCGGACAATTTACTCACAGCTCGCAATCCGCATTGTCGCACGTACATTAAATGTGCGTTGTATCTACTCGGACCACTGAAATTCGAGCAGTGTTTTTGTCGGTAAATCACTGCAAAAATATCATTTTTATCTCGTATGAAGGTTTATTTTTTATTCCTGACACAGATTTCATTATTGAGAAGTCGAATATAGTACATTTTAGACGAGATGGTTGATGTTTGTTCACATTCTTTCGTCCTGGCCGTAAATTAGCAGACTACTGCCTAGCGCTATCGCAGCAGCTCAGCTCAGTGTGCAGCTAGCTGTACAGCGCCGCCGGCCGGGTCGGCGGGGGAATTCACTGACTCGGCGCCCGTACCGGGCCGCTGCACTGCATTGCATGATTGTACTGCCCAATTTGATCGAGTGATGTGAGTATAACTAATCAAACTAGATCTATATCTACTGTAGTGTATTATCATTATTCATTCCGAGTAGAATATCCAATTTGATTTAGTGAGTAAACTAGACCTAGATCTATATCTACTGTAGCTACATCATTATCATATAGACTACTAGATTAGTCATTGAGAGTAGAATATCGATTAATGAAGGAATGGAATTTTTCTTTTTCATAATCATATTTTACTCCAAAAAGTTAAAGACTTGATAAATAGCTAGATCTAACGTAAGGGCCTAGCCTAGTACTGTAAGAGAAGTGAGCTGAAGAATCGCCTTCTTTTATTTTGGAGAGGCAGGCGCGTAGCCAGGGGGGGGGGGGGGGCAAAGGGGGCGGTCGCCCCCCCCCCCCCCCCCCCCCCCCAAAAAAAAAAAAAAAAAAAAAAAAAAAGGAAGAGGACGTAGGAAGAAAAAGGATTAAGAGTCGAGAACGGTACAACGAAACGTCTTCTTTCTCTAATTATTTAATGAAACATCAAAGCTTCCGCGCTTCGCGCGAGAAGGGGGGACAGAACTGAATTCAGGTAAGGATAAAGAGTCGAGAACGGAACAACGAATTGTCTTCTTTCTCTAATAATTTATAAAACGTCAATGCTTCCACGCTTCGCGCGGTAGCGGGACACTCAATTCAGACAAGGATCTAGAGTCGAGAACGGTAATACAAATCGTCTTCTTTCTCTAATTATTTAATGAAACATCAAAGCTTCCACGCTTTGCGCGGGAAGGGGGGATGGAACCGAATTCAGATAAGGATTAAGAGTCGAGAACGGTACAACGAATCATCTTCTTTCTTCGACTCCAAGATACAAATTCCAACAATATGACGTCAAGCTGATTCAAAATAACAAATGATAAGCAGGTGTAATCGTGTATTAATTTTATGCCACGTTGTGGTAATGCAATTTTGTTTTTTTAATTATTATTTATTTATAGTATACATATTTATACAGGTACACAAGATCAGATATAAATCTGTTAACCCCCAGCCCCCCCCCCAAAAAAAAATCAAAAAAATTGTAACATGCAGAGACCAGTACAGATGACACGCCACACCATTCCTTGTGTTGTGGTATTGGTACGTATTATTTCATATATGCAAGTTACAAGGCAAAAAAAAACCTAAATAAATAAACAAAGTTAAAACAATTAAATAAAATGGAGGACATGTTTGAAAACACACATAATAACAATAAACATTATTTGTTTACGATTCCAAGATACAAATTCCAACAATATGACGTCAAGCAGACTCATTATAACAAATGATAAGCAGGTGTAATCGTATATTAGTTTTATGCCACGTTGTGGTAATGCAAATTTTTTTTTTTATATTTATTATTTATTTATAGTATACATATTTATACAGGTACACAATATATCAGATATAAATCTGTTAACCCCCAGCCCCCCCCCAAAAAAAAAATCAAAAAAATTGTAACATGCAGAGACCAGTACAGATGACACGCCACACCATTCCTTGTGTTGTGGTATTGGTACGTATTATTTCATATATGCAAGTTACAAGGCAAAAAAAAACCTAAATAAATAAACAAAGTTAAAACAATTAAATAAAATGGAGGACATGTTTGAAAACACACATAATAACAATAAACATTATTTGTTTACGATTCCAAGATACAAATTCCAACAATATGACGTCAAGCAGACTCATTATAACAAATGATAAGCAGGTGTAATCGTATATTAGTTTTATGCCACGTTGTGGTAATGCAAATTTTTTTTTTTATATTTATTATTTATTTATAGTATACATATTTATACAGGTACACAATATATCAGATATAAATCTGTTAACCCCCAGCCCCCCCCCCCAAAAAAAAATAGATTTTGCTCATAGATCTTTGCCTCTGTTGCTGATTACATACCCGGCCGAGATGGATGGGAGGTAGGGGGGAGGGGGGGGGGGCAGCTGCCTTTTAGAAATTTGAGGAACGGTTAAATTAATGACCAGTTGACCAAAGGTCCAGGAGAAGGCTTACAAGAATTAAGATCCCCCTGCCCAGGGGCGGCTGAGCAACTTCCAAAGTGGGGGGGGGGGCACCAACAAAAAAGGGCACTTTCTGGAGAAAAAAAAGGGCACCTACAGTGGGAAATCTCAAAGCGAAAATATACAATTTTTTAGACATTGGTATATACCCCTACATTGTGATTACATTATCAGGGATGATTTCAATATTTGTTTCTCTTCATACATCACACAAGATATCGCTTAAGCATCATACTTTACAGTTGGGTGTGATGTCTGAATATGCATTTACGAGCGAGCGAAGCGAGCGTGAAAAATTTCAAAGATCTATGAGGTCGCAGTGCGAAAAATTACATCTTATAAAGAGGAAAAAAGCCAATCGTGATGGGGTTATAAGCACATTCTCATAACGGAAGACTGAAAAGACCTTTGATAAGTAACATAATTATATCATATTTAAATGCGAGCGAGCGCAGCGAGCGAGCTTTGGGGGAAATTGCTCTTAGTCGCCTTAAATAAGGGGCACGTTTAATGATTACATGAAAAGGGGACAATTATCGAAAGGGATAAGACACTTATAAGAAAAGAAAAGGAGCATGTGTCAAAGTACAAAAGATTATTATAAGAGGTGAAAATGAGGCATTTTTCACCCGAAAAGAGGCACTCACCAGTGATGACAAAGAGGCGTTTACGAAAATGGGAAATAGGCATTTGTTGACGGAAAAGGGGCACCCATCAGATTTTGATTGGGGCATTTATAAGAGGTGAAAAGGGGATAGTTCCCTTATTAGAAAGGAAAAGGGGCATGTATCATTATTAAAAGGGGAATTATCAGAGTTGAAAAGGGGCATTGACCAGATATGAAAAGGGGCACTTATAATAAAGGAAAATGTGCATTTGTTGAATGAGAAGGGGAAGGAACTCTTTCTTTTTGATGGGGGCACTTATAAGGAAAAGGGGCACTTATTAGAAAATAAGAGGGGCACATGTTAAAATGAAAGGTGTGCTCATCCGAGTTTAAAAAAGGGGATAGTTATTAAAAGGAGAAGGGGCACTTCTTACAAAGGAAAAAGGGGAAGTTGTCAAAGTAAAAGGAGCACCTCTCAGTTTTGAATAGGGCAATTATCAGAGGTAAAGGGGGCACTTATTAAAAGTGAAAAGGGGCACTTCTCGTACCTGAAAAGAGGCACTTACTAGAGCAGGCGCGGATCCAGGATTTCTTAGGGGAGGGGGCCCAACTTTTTTTTTTTTTGCTCCCGAAAATTTGAAAATCGCGCCGGCCGAAAAGTCGCTCAGTGGGGGGGGGGGGGGGGGGTACAGAGCACAATTTTTTTTAAACGCGCCGGCCAACGCCCCTTGAGCGCTAGGGGGGGGGGGGGCCCAACCCCCCAAAAAATTAAAAATCACGTGATTTTACACGATTTTTTTCTCAAGGGGGGGGGGGGCCCTGGATCCGCCACTGTACTAGAGATTAAAAAGGGCACTTATTCAAGATTATTTCAAGATTTATGAGAATGGAAAATGGACATTTATTGCAAAGGAAAATGGGAACATGTCGAAGGAAAAGGGGCACGTGTCAAAAATATAAAAGGGCACTCGTCAGAGGTGAAAAGGGGGAAGGGGCACTTTTACTAATAGGGGCACTTGTCAAATGAAAAGGGGCACCTTTCCTATGTAAAAAGGGGCACTTTTGGGGTATCTGAAAAAGTGGGGGGGGCACTGTGCCCCTCCCCCCTGGGAGGGCCGCCTCTGCCCCTCCATGCACCGGCACGGCATTGCAATATCATGTCTTAATTGCTTTGCTTTGTATATATCTCTTTGATTCCCAGAAAAAGGGAACAAAAAGGAGATTTTTTGGTTTGTTTTGGGGGTGGTGGGGGCTGCATTAGCCAATACCTTCTTTTCATAGAATTTTTTTGAAGCAGCCCCCTCCAAAAAAATAAGGCGATTCTTCAGCTCACTTCTACTAGGCTAGGCCCTTACGTTAGATCTAGCTATTTTATCAAGTCTTTGACTTTTAGGAGTAAAATATGATTATCTGATTATGAAAAAAGAAAAATTCCATTCCTTCATTAATCAGATATTCTACTCTCTGCATGTCATTACGAACTCGTAGCTCGTGCACAGTTTTTCCGTTATAATCATTTTGCCTTCGGCGTAGACTAGAAAGAATGAGACTCGGCTGCAAGATTTTCTTCATGGATGTCGATCTTGACCCATAATTTCCTAAAAATGGACCATTAAACGGATTATTCCAGTCAAGTTGGTAAGTGGAACCGAAGTAGTTAAGTATTTAGCTAATTTAGGACTTTAAATGCATCGGATACGCATCCGGTAAAA